TTCCCCTACACGTCATAATGATATTTTAGAATAGGAACAGATGCGTAGGTAGATAAAGAATTCTTGCTTGCATGCGTACTCGTACGGTCATTAACTCCATACCTTATTTCCCGGCAGCCGCGCGATTCATTCTGTCTTGGCTTCGTCAAATTCGAATTACACCTATCAAAAGACGTGCAAGTAGAAAGTCTAGTCGTTCCTTTCGGTTAAGATCACCTTCGCATTATCGTGAGATATTGCTTTCAGGATAACATCACATCACCTTGATAGATCGTAGGCCGGTGAAAAGCGAATAATTAACTGCGAACAGAATGACGACGCGGAAGATAATCATGACATGCGCTTTATTTGTATGTACATATCCGCGCTGAGGAATACGCTCTTGTCGTAATTGAACGTAATTATTTTATGAACTTATCGCGTGTACTTAATAATGCATATTAGGCGATAAAGTACTTGTATATAAATATGCACTTGCTGGAAATTAAATAGACTTGACTCAATGATAAATCAAAGTAAAATGGGAGCTATATAAATTTTTGCATACATTCACCCTATGCTCAGTTCTTATTACTCTTATTTTATGTGGCGTCTCAGCAAGTGAGACGCCACGCAAGGTGCAACTCGCATTTAAATGGCATAAGAAATGCCTTATTGGGAGAACACCTTACGCGCGACGCGCTTCCGAGAAGCGCGAGCCTCGCGACGCGTTTCTGAGAAGCGCGGCTGGGCAGCGGTAAGCGCGAGCCTCGCGACGAATTCGTGGAAACTGCACCGAAATTCGGAGAACCGCGAACCTTGCGATTTTTCGGAGAAATTTAACTCACGTATATTTAACACTCGGAAAGAAAAGGGGTATAAATAGAGCGCAAGGCGCCAGGAGGTTTAATTCGCTCTCGAACTCGATTGAGACACAATCTCTCGAGAAGAAACAAGTCTAGCAAGCTACACAGCTAGAAGCTCGAGCGTATCTTCCTCTTAAGGAGAGAACTCCACACGAGCCAAGGATCTCAGGGCATCCTGAAACGTCTACAGAGTCGGCCTCCGAGCGAGGCCCAGGGCGCAAGTCGTAAACCGCTCAGCCACCAGCTGCGGGACCTTTTCGGCACCGACAGTGAAGATGACCAGGCTGAAGAGCTAGTGAAGCACGCTCCTAACTCGCCGACCTCCACGTGGTCGTCCCTACCATCGACACCCTCGCCGACTCGCCTACCCAGGACGCCGTCGCCGCGGAACAGTCAACAAGGCTACGCAAACCTCTCTAGGGGACGGCAGGACTACATCACCGAGGAAGACGGAGGAGCGACCACCAGGAACTACTGGACACCGCCGATCTCCACGGAAGCCAGTTCGGCCGGAGAAGTTCCTGGCCCATAGCCTATCACTTAAGAAACCAGCGCGACTGAGGACGGCTACCCACCACGGCCGCCTCCTGCGGATTCGACCCTGGTGTGGGACGACACACTGAGGCCACAGAGCAATAGCTTATACACTGACACACGCACACCAAATATGTACACAGATAATAAACTGGACCATTTCATAGGGACGTAGGTGCTTACTTTACTTGCGTGTACCTTTTCCATCCTGCAAGCGCTGTATCGATATAAGATCTTGTGAACGCGAGATAACGCAACCACATTTTATTTTGGTTTTTAGTCCCATAGCTTTTTTAACATCCTTTTTTTCGATGTTAAATGTCATATATACTTGATCTAAATACTTGAAAAAATATAATCTCGAATTGTCTTTCGCGTGGTCTCAAGAGGATTCTTTTAAAACCACAAGAGGGAAATGTTGTGAGTACAATATCTTTTTCAGATTAGAGGAGTTTCGGTTTTTGTCTGCAGTACAAGTTTTATTTGTCGTATCTTTTGTATCGCGTAAAAGATAATTACCAAGTTAGTCAATTAGAATAGTCTATTTTATTAAAAGGAAAATATTTTTTAGTAAAAATTTTTCAGTAAAAATTTTTCAGTAAAAATTTTCGCTTTTAGAATATGGAATTGTAGGAAATAGAAACTGGAGTTCTTTTTTGTTAAGACATTGTTAGAATATATTCCTTTTGGTTTTAGGAAATTAAATTATTAGTATATATTATTTGTTAGAATATTTTTCTTTTGATTTTAGAAACATTCTCTTGAAGCCATGTAAATATAAGAGAATTTTGCTAAAGATGAGAAAATTTTAGTTCAATTTACAATTAATACATTTAAATACAAATTAAGTCTTACAAGTTATAATACAAAATAACATCAATGTAAAAATACAAATGGCAACTAGATATTATCTTCTTTAGTTTCTTCATATATATATATATATTTGATTACGTTCGGGAGTGTATCGGAAATATCAGGCAAGTCGAAGAAATTGCTGAGGAATACTGAGAAAACATTAGACAAATTTATATATACATATATATATATATATATATATATATATAATATTCTATTTTTGTTATATTATACATATATATATATAATATTCTATTTTGTGTGATTTATTGTGTTAAAGTCTCACTTGTAGTTTCACGGCAATTATCTGTGAAACCGCGTTAACTCTGTCTGTACAAAATTCTTCAGTCGGATACGTGTGTGTCCACACTCGTTTTGCAGAACGATTTGAAGACACTTTCTTCGGCGCATCTCGAGACGTATCTGACGTTCAACGAGACAATCTATCTTATGAGAATTATTCAAAACAAACTCTACCATCGGACTATACGTCGGCTGCGTTCCGAAGTGCGTCGAATGAAACGTGTTCAAACCGTTCTGCAAATAAATGTATATGTGTGTATGCATACACTTGTTTGCACAACGGTTTGCACACACTTTTTCCACTGAAGTTGGGACGGTGGCGTTTCAAACTGCATTGAAAGAGGAAAATTGCCCAAGCCATTTTGACACCGAGTACACGTAGTATACTAAGTTTCAAGACAGTAAGAGAAACTTTTTTCCTCAACGCGCTTTGGAACGTAGCCGGTGATTCAATGAAGAAACTTGTTTTTTATTAATTCTCAGAAGTTATGTTATGTTCTCTCGTTGGCTGTGTTCCAAAATATGTCGAAAAGTGTTCGAACCGTTTTGTAGCTCAGTGTTCATATACACACTCTGCCGGAAAAGTTTTAACATTTTTTTCCTTAGCATCAATCGAAAATCTCGGCCATGCACACTGCATTTACATATTCGTGCATTATGACTCGACTATTCCCAAAAAATAGCAACATTGTCCAGAAGCAGCTGTGGCATTGACAGCTCTCCATGCTATAGAAGACATGTTACTTTCCGAAAGCAAAGCAAAAAACATTACATGAAAACATTCTCGTAAAAGATAAAAGTGATTAGAAATATTTACCAAGATAAACCCTGATCAAGGATTAAGAACTGAATCCCGAATTGTAATGTTGATATACAATATATATATACATATCAAGGTAAATACAAAATATATTAATATATATTTTATATATTAATGTGTGTATATATATATATATATATATATATATATATATATATATATATATATATATATATATATATTGCGACGTCTTTTCTTATGAGTTAAGGCGGACCGCCACTTTCATTCGCCGCGTCGGCAAATTACCGCGGTCCTCGATATACGAAGTTGGGCGCCAGGTGCGGTAAGGTCGCACTTCCTCATTAAGACAGATGACACCAAAAATCGTTAATGATCCCGAAATCGCGAAACCGAGAACTCACGGAACCGGCAGCTCCACTTTGATTAAAGTCGGAGATGGGAGTGGATTTTAGGTGATATTCGATCCCGGTCGGAACTAGGAATAAGTCAAGGCGATCAAATTATTCTTTATTCTCCAGGACATGCTCGTCTCGGTAGCTTCGAAGTACACGGGATCGATAAACGCGGTAACAGATTGATCTTAATGCGACCAGCACGGTTCTCGCGAGACGGTATCCGACGGCCACTTCTCGGGCAAGACGATACGACAACGGTATGAGACGACACGACGCTACTGATTTAAACGAGTGATCAGTCTTACAAAATTTCGATGCTCCCTCGTCCACTATGACCCTGGTGATCGCTCTCCACGTGACCCTCGTCGTCGCAGTACGCCGCCGCCAACGGTAGCTCGTGAAATTTTCGCCCTCGCTTCAAATCCGTCTCCGATAGTCTTGTTTGTTTCCCCAGGCACTCGGTACTCGTTATTACTCGTTTCGTCGACACAAAAGAACGGTAAACGGTAACACGTTAGATGCAGGCATCTCGGCACGATATCGCACGGGTTGCTCGCTCGACGCAAAATCTCTCGATCTTTTTCGATCGAGAGCTTTTTTCTCGTTTTCGCCGTCTTTCTCTCTCTCTCTCTCTCTCTCTCTCTCTCTCTCTCTCTTTCTCTCTCTCTCTCTCTCTCTCTCTCTCTCTCTCTCTTCATTCCAACCGGTTTCGACACCTGACCGCTCCGTGTTTATCTGATTGGTCGTCAACTGTTCGTTTCTGACGTCTATCTCGGCCGGTGTTCCTTGCGATTTTTCCTCTCGCGTCCTTCTTCGACGCGTTACGCAGCGAGCTGTAAGAATAAACACAGCGAGCAAAACCGAAATCGGGGCGGCAAAAATTTCTTATAGAGAGCGAGAGTTAAAGTTTCTTACTAGAGTGGCTATTACTAGGACTGTCGGCGAGAGCGGTGACGTCGGTTTGTCCCTCGTGATCCCTCGTCGTTCTGCTGACTTCTATCCCTCCGGGTCGACGCGGGGCACACTGTTTTAGGGATGCGAGGATTAGACCACTATTTTGACGTCCTAGTTCACGAACCTTCTCTAATTGTTTTCAATGCCTTCTGGCTTCGCTCTCGATATTCGCGACCCGAGATGCGAAGCGCACGAAAAATTTGGCGAGCGGAGTCGCGCCCCTTGTGACGGACGCCTCTCGGGGCCGCCATGTCACAATATATATATATATGATTTTGGGAATGTGTCGGAAATGTTAGGAAAGTCGAAGAAATTACCGAGAAATCTTGAAAAAACATTAAACACTAAGAGACTATATATATATGAAGAAACTAAAGAAGATAATATCAAGTTGCCATTTGTATCCTTAGATTACATTGATGTTATTTTGTGTTACAACTTGTAAGACTTAATTTGTATTTAAATATATTAATTGTAAATTAAATTAAAAATTTATATATTCCTATATCTAAGAATAAAATTGGAGGTCGCTAGGAATTAAATAGTTTATGTTAGACTTAACTCAATGCTTAGTCAAAATAAAATAAAACCTGTACAAATTTTTGCATACATTCACTCTATGCTCGGCTTTTATATATATATATATATATATATATATATATATATATTAGCTTATATATTACATTTACAAATGTATAACTTAAAAACTATAACAAAATTAAAGCTTCTAGACAACGTTGCTACTTTTTCGGAATAGTCGACAGTCACGATGCACGAATATGTAGATGCATTGGACGTGGTCAAGATTTTCGATTGATGCTAGTGGAAGAAGTGTTAAGACTACTTCGGCGCGAAGTGTAAGAAATCGAAGCGCGCGAATTAGAAAATGACTCGTGGCTCTTCACGGCTCATTTGGGACGCGACGCGTGCTCGTTTGTTCGGCCCACTTCGCGTTCCGCGTTGCTCAACGTCGATGTGACAGCGTGGAATTACGAAATTAAGAGGAACATCACAATGGCACTGTTGACACTAAAACGGAATAATCGAGTAGTATTTGCGCTCGTGAAACGCACGAGTAATTTCAGTAGCGTTCCCTGCGTGACATTCGGCTCATTTGTCTCGTTTTCATTGCCTCTCCCGGCCCATTGAAACCTCTGACATCAAAGGAGGACCACCAGCGCGACGTCGTTAACGTCATTAGTTACGCTCATCTTAACATTAGGCCTCGCTCGGGAAAAAAAACAACGCTCACGCCACTATTGTGCGATCGGCGACGGCGATTGTCGATGCGACCGCAGCGACGATGATGATCATGACGAGGATGACGACAACCTCGCAGGAAAGCGTCTGGTGGCAATGGCAAGATGAGGAAAGGAATCGTGCATAGATATAGCAGAGCAGAGAAGAGAAGAAAAGAGCATAGAAGGATCACGAGCGCATAATGACAGTGAAAAGATCGTGACTTTGCCATTGGTCTCGAGGAAAACCGGTGTTATTATGCGTGATTTACGCGACTGCTTGTTCATCGGTGACAAGCGCAAAGTGCGCGAACTTGGATCAGGCTGGTAACGCCGCGGAATCTCTGCCCGCAATAATCGGGATCGATTCTTATCTTATACGAGACTAAATCTCGGTTTAAAATAGGTGATTTGAGCCCTAAACGTTCAGAAATTGTCATTATAGTCGATTCAACTGTAATCGGTTATTCGTACATCGGGACAAAGGATCGGTTGTTCTCACCTCTTTGGCAAGTTAACTGACAGTTAAATCATATGTCTGTATTTGTCTAAGTTGAAAGAAAAACATATGATTTAACTGTCAGTTAATTTACCAATAAGTTGGAACAACCGATCCTAAGAGGTCCCATGGGGACTTCTGCGGCCCACTTATGCGACTATTCTTATACGACTTATACGACTATTCGAACCCTTTGCACTCCAAAGGCGCCCGAGCGGCGCCACACCTGAAATTTCTTGTAAATTACTCGTACACGTCATGGCGACGCTTCTCGAATCTTAAACCAATGTCTAAAACTAGCAATAACTGCTATAAAGCAGTACCTTCAGTATAAATTCAAAGGACAAATATCCGATGGCTGGATACTAATAACGCTGGACACTAATAACTCTAGTCGTTTTTAATATTTTGATCTTTAAATGCGAATATTTAAACTTTCAACATAGAATATATGTGTACATATATCGGCCCTTATTCTCAAATCTCTTTTATCGATCAAACTGAAATTGGTTTACAATCAATACAACTGGTTATCAATCAGAGATTGGCCAATCAGAAAGCTAATCAAAGAGCCAAGAGGAAAGTTCAGAATTTTTTTCAGGACAGCCATTAAATATATACATATATTCTACGTTTTGAAAGTTTAAATATTCGTATAAAAACCAAAACAAGAAGAATATCCAGGATTAGGTACAAGTGTTACTAGCGTTCAGGCATCAGTACTTTTACCTTAGATTAGGAATTCAAAAGTTGCAACGTTTTACAAGAAATTTTAAATGGCTACTTTAAAGTGCAAATTACTTTAAAATGCAAATATTTACGACCAATATAATACAACTACTTTGATATGTCGAGACATTCTGATACGATGTGGGAGATATGATGAATTACATCTTTTCTCTCTTACTCTTATCTATATGAGAAAATAAATAATAAACAATGGGGTTTCGATAATCCAATAATTGCGTGATAACGAGTATTTCATGATAACGAGCGGATAGTCGGTTTTTTCATGAGCGATTCAGGACACGATAAGTCGAATCCTTCATACCGCGAAAATGGATTGGGAGATTCGTCTTGATGAATTTTCGCGAACATACGAAGAGATTATTTTCGTGGCGTTGAAATCTCAACTCATCGAAGTTACACGTGTCCTGGTAAGGTGAGCTCACGATGTGAGCTTAGCGCCGACGGCCTCCTTCACGTGGAGATCATGTTGTGCTTCGTGAGGCGACAATTTTCCACAGTCAAGGTCTTTGCTTCGTTCATGATCAGCGTGTTCGTCTCGTCCGGGCACAGGATGACACTGTGGCAGGAAGAATAAAGGAAACCATGACAATAAATCAGGATATGTCGAGATTGCGCGTTCGCGGTCGCTACTCCTTAAAATACAACTGGCACATTTTTCCCTGAAATACTTTACTTACAATTAATGGTTCAGTTATAAGTATAGTATTGCAGTCAGTAAAATCTTGCTAATTGGATTAGTTAATAGTAGCGACTATTACGCTGAGAAAAAAATACTTAAGAATTTATTTGTAGGATATAAAGTTCATTTCCGTGAAATAAGTTGTATCTCTGTGAAATAAATTTTTACTATATTATATATTATATAAATAATATAATAATATTATGTTATATAAATAAATAAATAAATATATATATATATATATATATATATATATATA